ATAGTTTTGATATGAAAGGTTAGCCTGTTTTTTAAGTGTACGTTCAGCAGAAGTATGGATAACATTACATTACACTTAGAGCAATTATTTATTTTAGTTATAAGAACGTAAGAAAGGAACGCACATACACGATGTAGTAAAGTTTATTTTAAAAAGTATTGATTTTGTTTACATCTTAAATAGTTCTCCATCCACACAAATTTCCATTGGCTAAACACTGACATCAAATACTCTTTAGTAAGAATTGTTCTGCTATTTCCTACCACTGCCTGCTAAGGTTTATCAAAGTTATTGATCAAAATTTGCTACTTTACGCTCCTGTTTGTTTGAGTTTCTATTTTTATAAAAATGAAAGAATATTCTGAGGTTTTTCAGTGTTTTGTTTTTTCATTAACCCTAAAATCGAGAGTCGATTCGTTAATCATCGCAGTTTTGGGCAAACAATAAGAAGCACTAACATTGTCTTTCAAACAATACAAGCTCAATGATAACTTAATATTATATCTTTCAAACAATACATGTTTGTAGTTAAGCACAAAGCTACACAATGGGCTATCTGTGCTCTGCCAACCACGGGTATCGAAACTCGGCTTTTAGCGTTGTAAGTCCGCAGACATACCACTGTGCTAAGATAGTGGGGCAAACAATACAAGCTCAACGACAACTTAATATTATATCTTTAAAACAATACAAGTTTTGTGCTCATTGGTTCACCTGTTGCAGATAGATCTTCAATAAAAATAAGTTCTCGTCCGTTTATGTGAAGATTTTGGTGAAAGTCTATTCCCTCTTACAAAGACATTTACCTATAAAATACCTTTGACTCAATATAAATTGGAGGATGTAACCGAAGGTCATGTTTACTTTAGTCACATTTTCAATTGCATAGTTTAAAGATCTAATGATTGCATATAGAAAACCATTGTGGACACAGTTCAGTTGAAGTTAAAGTGGTCAGAGATATCACCCATACAACGTAAGAATTCAATCAAGTGAGGTCAAAAAAAACTTTGAAAGAGAAGGAATAGTAAATATAAATAACTTATTGTAACTTCTTTCATGGTTTAGTGATCGGCAGGCCTAGATGTAGTTGATCAAATCTCAACGAATGAAAGTCATAAGAAATCACTACTAAAAACCATTCTTACAAATTAAGGTAAAAATGGAATGACCCTAAACAAAAATAGTTTGCTTTCATGGAGACTTTTCATCAATATCAAAACAATATTTTGAGAGTTTCAATTGAGGTTATGAAGCAAGAGTTGTGTTTAAACTCAAAGCTACACAATAGGTTACCTGTGCTGTAAGCGCCGCGGTTATCAACCCCCGATTTTTTATCAAATTTAGCTTTCAAGCTTAACACTGAGCCAGCACTGGGGTAAAAAAAGGCCTAAACTTCAAAGTTTTATATGAGAAATTGATGTAGTGGATTTACTCTTGTTCAAAGATGCTATCAAAATATGGCAATTTCTGAACGATCGGCTCACAGTGTTAGGTTTATGTTAATAAACAATTTACACAGAAAACAGAGTAACTTTGCATAAGCTAAATGAAGATAATATGGGTTAAAGATAAAATGTTGAGATAGAAGGCAAGTAAATCCCAAACTGTAATAGATCATTACTCAGTTTTATCTTAATAGTCATTGATCTCCTTAATGTAATGTGTTAATGATGGACCAGCAGGAATAAATCGAGTAACAACACTTAAAATTCATTGCTATCATTAGTAGAAACGTGCTTCACATTTAATGGCACTCAGATTGATAAAAACAAAGTACTGTATCATTAAACTACAGAGGTAATATAGTAACACACAGCAGACAAGTGATAATTTAATTATTGACCAGTTTATACGAATACTTCCTAGCCAATAAATCATAAGTACTTCTACATTTTAAATTAGCATTAGAAAAATCAAATAGAAATTGATTATTAAGTCAGGAAACCAAGGATTCTAGTGAACTGTTCAGTGAATTATTAAGATATTAAGTCAAAAACAAAATGTCCACTGTTTGAATAGTGAACTGTTCAATGAATTATTAAGATATTAAGCAATGAAACAAAATCTCCACTGTTTGAATAGTGAACTGTTCGATGAATTATTAAGATATTAAGTAAAGAAACAAAATGTCCACTGTTCGATGAATTATTAAGATATTAAGTAAAGAAACAAAATCACTTTTTTGAATAGCGAACTGTTCTATGAATTATTGGGGTATTAATTTCAGAGACTAGGTATTGTTGCAACTATTTCTATCGTTGACGGGTTTTGTTTTTTCTTTAAGATTGGGTAAAAATACTTTAAAGTTCAGTCCTCTTAAATAAATGTAAAGCTTCTTATTTCTTTGGTTGTAACATACAAATTCCAAAGGCTATGTTCGTTGATAGGCATAACTCACAAATTAGAATTAACAGGTACTAACACATAGTAACAGATTCACAAACTAATCACTTACTGACTGACAAACAGTAACAGATTCACAAACTAATCACTTACTGACTAACAAACAGTAATAGATTCACAAACTAATCACTTACTGACTGACACACAGTAACAGATTCACTAACTAATCACTTACTGACTAACACACAGTAGCAGATTCACAAACTAATCACTTACTGACTGACACACAGTAACAGATTCACTAACTAATCACTGACTGACTAACACACAGTAGCAGATTCACAAACTAATCATATACTGACTAACACACAGTAACAGATTCACAAACTAATCACTGACTGACTAACACACAGTAACATATTCACTAACTAATCACTGACTGACTAACACACAGTAACAGATTCACAAACTAATCACTTACTGACTGACAAACAGTAACAGATTCACAAACTAATCATATACTGACTAACACACAGTAGCAGATTCACAAACTAATCATATACTGACTAACACACAGTAAGAGATTCACTAACTAATCACTTACTGACTGACAAACAGTAACAGATTCACAAACTAATCATATACTGACTAACACACAGTAACAGATTCACAAACTAATCACTGACTGACTAACACACAGTAGCAGATTCACAAACTAATCATATACTGACTAACACACAGTAAGAGATTCACTAACTAATCTTTGATTCACTGACCGACGGACTCACTGATCAACTCTTTCGTGTATAGTTGCTTATTTCCAAATCTCACGAGAATTCGACATGTCACATTAAATCTAGACACTCAGGAACCTTCTAGACGTCACGCGAAAAATCCATATAGCAAAGAATACAAAATATCTAAATTAAAATATTAAAACGCTCAGCAGTATCCACGGTTTGAAAAGCAAACGCTTTTAGAGAATTTTTATATGAAACTCCTCTTACTCTCTCTCTAGAGAGCTTATTGGTAATGTGTATGTACATTGTGTGTCTTCAATCTTATCACAGAACACACCAATCCGTTTTAATAAAGTGTAGTTCACTTGAAGCTGGACCCGAAGGTGGTAATCATAAAAATAATAGTTTATATCAGGTCAACTGCTATACACTAGATAATTAACCCCCTTGTTCATTAATGGTTAACTCCCTTTAAACACTGAATAATTAACCCACTTGTTCATTAAGGGCTAACCCCCCTTTAAACACTGAACAATTAACCCCCTTGTTCATTAATGGTTAACTCCCTTTAAACAGTGAATAATTAACCCACTTGTTCATTAAGGGCTAACCCCCCTTTAAATACCGAATAATTAAAACACTTGTTCATTAATAGCTAACCCCCTTTAAATACTGAATAATTAACCCACTTGTTGATTAATGTCAGACCTACTTTAAATACTGAATAATTAACCCACTTGTTGATTAACGTCAGACCTACTTTAAATACTGAATATTTAACCCACTTGTTGATTAACGTCAGACCTCTTTTATTAAGTGGGAATTAGGTCTCTTATTTATTAGCATCAGGTATTCAGGTTAGTTTTAATAATGATTAATGGTGACTTTGTAATTTCAGGTTACAACTTATAATGTGACTAATAACCTTTATGTTAGTACCTAACTCAAACACAATATTTCTTCTGTGTAATTGTGGTACAGAGATATACCAGAAGGTTCTCTCTTTCTCTAGTATTGTTATTTTGTAGTATATGGATATACCAGAAGGTTCTTTCTTTCTCTAGTATTGTTATTTTGTAGTATATGGATATACCAGAAGGTTCTCTCTTTCTCTAGTATTGTTATTTTGTGGTATATGGATATACCAGAAGGTTCTTTCTTTCTGTAGTCTTGTTATTTTGTAGTATATGGATATACCAGAAGGTTCTCTCTTTCTCTAGTATTGTCATTTTGTGGTATATGGATATACCAAAATATTCTTTCAGTCTCTAGTATTGTCATTGTGGTATAACGTACATGAGCTGATGTCAAGAAAATCGCTAAATCGATCTGGTCACAAGTTACCTTTCTTTCTGGGTCATCTTCCACGATAGGGATAGTTGTACTCCCCTCGGGGTGACAGTGGTCACCTGGTTGAGATACTCATGCGAGATAAAAGGCTAGAGATCAAGATTTAACCAATCACACGGTCATACTAGACAAACGAGAGTTTCGATAATTAGTATAAAATCTCATACTTAGTCAGATTATTCCGATGTTATTCTAATTCTACTCTGATCTGAGGCTGAGAAATATATAGAAGAAAGCAACTGTCTCACGTAAATAGACACACTATATTTTTATATTAATTTGAATATAGATTCTTTTCTGTTTCTAACTCTTGAGCTTAAACTGATGATGATGCTAAAAGTGCACAGAAACGCCAGGAAACTATTATAGTAGGATATATTTAGTTAAAATAAACTCAAATAGTTACTAACAAGTATATGTTACTAACTATACTTGCCTAAGCTCATAAGTTGCTATAATCATAGTTGTATCAGCCATGAGAAATTTAAACTTCTTGAGATTAGCTATAATGATTGTTTTGGTGTTAACAAACCGGACCACACTTCATAGATTACATAGCTTTTTATGTTCAGCAGATTTCTACTTACAAAACACGTGAAAACCAGTCTTTACACAAAGTTCAAAGAATTTACTACAGCGTCTTCTGTAAGATGGTATATGTACACGATTCAGACTCCTTGCACATCGAGAAACAGGACATTGCTATCGTCATGGGCATCCAATGGTATTATCCGTGGGCAAAACTGATCCAACGCAAGTTGGATTCAGCAACTAGCACCTTCTCCTTAGCCAAACCTAATGAAGGGGTGATGGGTGCCCTCCTCTTTGTCATAGCATGCTTGTTTGGTGATTGCACAGAGCTGTTGGAATAGTTCAATAAGGGCATATAGCAAAAGGTGCTGAAGAAGTAGGACTGAAAGAGTACATAGGGTAAGTAGTTATAAAGGGAGCTAGGATCGGTCGAATCCCTTCGGCAAAGGAACTTAAGTGTGTTGCTGGAGGTACCTCAGAAAGGAACGTCACCGGTAATCCAAAGCCAAAATTGTTTAGAAGAGGTCTTGCAGCTATCCTGCTCTTCTCCAGCTCGGCTTCCTTGAGCCTTTTTTCCTTGGCTCTCCTGTTCTGGAACCAGATTTTCACCTGGGTCTCCGTGAGATTCAGGGAGCTCGAGAACTCGGCCCGGTCAGAGATAGATAGATACTGCTTCCTTCGAAACTTCCTCTCCAGGGCCATCAGCTGTTGAGTGGTAAACGGTGTTCGAGGTTTCCGGTTACTCTTGTGCTTCCGTAGCTGGCACTTCATGGGCGGAAGTTTTGGAATCTCTCCGGATTCTGCAAGAAAAGATCCACGAAAAAGATCTGTAGTGTAATATATATATATAAATACACTACATTTTTTGTACTTTAATACCTTAATTTACTTTTTACTGATTACACGAAAACCCGCACAAGAGTATTTAATTTGAACTACATTTTAGTTCAGAACCAAGTTAGCACGTGATGAATGTAAGAATTAAACATCAGGTAAAAATGGTAATTTTCTATAACCGTAGCTCCTTGAATAAAACAGCAAAGAGTCAGCTCATGCTGAGAGAAAATATTAAGAATAAAATTTATTTCTTCTTGATTAACAAATAACGTTATTTGTTAATCAAGAAAAATGTTTTTTATTAAATCAAGTTGTTGTTACATGATGTAACAACAACTTGATTTAATAAAATAACTTTCTTCTTGATTAACAAATAACGATGTAACAACAACTTGTTTAATAAAATAACTTTTTCTTGATTAACAAATAACAATGTAACAACAACTTGATTTAATAAAATAACTTTCTTCTTGATTAACAAATAACGATGTAACAACAACTTGTTTAATAAAATAACTTTTTTCTTGATTTAAAGACTAACGATGTAACAACAACTTGATTTAATAATTCATTGATATAAATGGAAATGTTATAAATGTTTGGAGATACTTCAAAGTTCAAAACTTTCCAATTACAAAATTTAATATCAATACTGACATGTTGTAATTAAGATATGAATGATGTAAATTACCCCTCTGATTTTACATAATTACTACATCCTAGGTTTGTAATGTGACCCCCTTACGTGGTTAAATTAGAAAAATGACTAATATTCCTTACATTTTAGTTAAGTTTGTCTTGATCAAGTGAGATGCTGGTATATAGAGCTGGACTGAGCCAAGTAACACTATATTTATTATTCTAGTAACATAAAACTGTCCAAAGTAGTCTCCGTTCATTTTATTATATTAATTTCTCATTATAACATTTTGTTGCTTCTCAATTCTAAACATAGTCTATAAATAATTAAATTTGAACGTACTAGAACAATATGGAAGACTGGCAGTTCAACCCTTACAGACGTCTCTAATATTCAGACACATATCTGTACTAGAACAATATTGAAGACTGGCAGTTCAACCCTTACAGTCGTCTCTAATATTCAGACACATATCTGTACTAGAACAATATGGATAACTGGCAGTTCAACCCTTACAGACGTCTCTAATATTCAGACACATATCTGTACTAGAACAATATGGAATACTGGCAGTTCAACCCTTACAGACGTCTCTAATACTTGGATACATATATGTACTAGAACAATATGGAAGACTGGCAGTTCAACCCTTACAGACGTCTCTAATATTCAGACACATATCTGTACTAGAACAATATGGAATACTGGCAGTTCAACCCTTACAGACGTCTCTAATACTTAGATACATATCTGTACTAGAACAATATGGAAGACTGGCAGTTCAACCCTTACAGACGTCTCTAATATTCAGACTAACGTGGAAGACTGGAAGTAAAATATCAATAGTCTCCAGAACCTGCACCGTATAGTCTCCTAACTCAGACACACACTTGGAAATTATTGTTTACGTGTTTAATGCTCCTATCAATACTCTCCAGAACCTGCACTGTATCCCCTAACGGCAGGAAATGTCGCTGAACCGCCAGTCACAGTGACTACGAACACAGGATATCATATACATTGAACAAGTTTACAAAATAATATTTGACAATATATGTGCAAGTATCTACATTCAATATCTACGTACACACAAGGACCAATCTTTCATAAACTGTGGTATATCTATCGAAAATCTTATGTCTAAGGTGTTTTGAGATGTGTTTTAGTAACATTTTGATGCTACATATATATATATATATATATACCAATTTCAAGGAAATGCAGCGTTCATGCTAGTGGTACTAACTTAGTATTGTGAATTATTCAGTTAATTAGTTGTTCAAAATACTAAAAAGTAAATGTGAAGTCAAATCTATCATTCGATTTATCACTTGTCAACGAGTTATGTCCGAACCCCCAACGGTAACCATGGGCCATAAGTGTATAAATAGAAAAAATAAAACTAAGCTTCGTATATATCATATTTATGTTTTTTTAATATGTTTCATTTGCTTTCATACTTGGGTTCTTAGACTTATTAGGTTCATAATAGTATGTGCTGGAATATTACCGTGAACCCTCACGTGGTTCTGAATGGTAAACTTAGGATATACGATTAATTCTTATTATGTAGGTTAATTCGTAAGCGATCATCACTGTAAAGCTCATATTGTTAGGTATGTAACAGCAACACCGTGTTCAAGAATACGTTACATATTATGTTCGCCCAATCTTTATTATGTTTATAGAAATATACATTTAAGCCTTACCACATATGATGAAGTTCCGAGTTTTATAGAGTAATGATAATTATATATTAATTAAATATGGTAAATACTGTTCGGCTGAGCATCATTAAACTCGTTATAGTATAGCCAGAAATTTAATGTTCAGAAAAACTGTTTCTACGTTCCCAAGTTCTATAATTATTACGCTTGCAAGGGGCTCTAGGACTAAATTTCTTTAAGGATTTCCAAGGCTAGGATTCAAGGCTCTCTAATTACTTAGTTTTAAAGATTGTCTAGCTTTTAGATATCTAGCATTCCTTATAGTTAGGAATTATAGATCAATAACACTTAAGTTTCAAATGTTGTCTAACTTTTAAGTTTCTAAGA